GATCATCATTTTGGTTTTGATTCTGGCTGGTAGAATTTTCCTATGTGTACTTGATATTTTTGTGGCACAACACAGATTTTATGAGGGATTATATGGTTTAAATATAAATCTTTTATTGATTGATCTTTTTTTACAGTGCTGGAGTTTTAGATATGGAGCAAAATTTCTTCTTCAGCGTAAAGTTTTTACAGTAAGTTGATTTATTTTCAATTGTAAAAAACAATTTCCATTTCTTTTAATTTGTGAATTAATGAGTTGCTTGCCTGAGTCATTGTCTCCTAATGATATCAATATGCAGATCAATATCAGTATCAGTTAGGGGAGGGGTTGGTGGGCAGTTGCCCAGATACTGATTTTGATCCCAATATGCAATGCAATGTAAGCCTAATCTCAAAGAGCAAGAAAAATACTTTTTTTGTCCATTATTTCAGGATTGTATGCCTCCATCCTGCATCATATCTTTTCTCTGCTTGGAAGACACCCCAAGCAGATCACAGAGATGCTTTGCTGTGTATCACAATAATGTGATTATTTACAATCTCCTCAATGGAACATGTGTTGGACACCTCAAAGAGCTGCATCCCAGAGAGATCACTGCTATGTTGTTTTTCAATCCACTTAAGGTACAATTTGCAGACTTTTTATCATTACTGTATATCACAAAAAATGAGAGAGAAATGTTTGCTTTTAATTCACTGCTTTGACTCCCAAAATATGATTGTTAATCTCCTCTCTAGCTCCTACACATTTCCATGTAAATTAGTTACAGGAATTTGGTGGTACATCAAGGTAACAACATGTACCTGAGAAGTTTGATTATTCTCATTACTTGTTTTATGGATAGTGTATGTGGATATTACATGGAGAAGTTACATATTAATCTTTTCTGAGAATTGAAGGTTGAAAACAACACAGAACTGTATTAGAAACTGTACAACTTTGGACAACCCCAGCCATTGCTTAAAGGTCTCTGCAAAATTTAGATTTTAACCCTTTAATTCCCAAGATGTGACTGTTAATTCTCCCCTCTAACAGCTGCACATTTCCTTGTAAAACATTTGTGAGAATTAAGGGCCTGTTTACATGGAGGTGGGGTAATCCAGGGAGGTGAGGTATCTCGCCTAGCTGTGATTAAAAAATAAAATGCATTAATAGTCAAAGTAATTTTGATTGCATCTTCAGTCCAAATATATTTAACAGAGGCTAATGGCATACAGATTCATTTTTATTTTATTTATAAAAAGAAACTGAAGGGCTATATTGTAAAATTATTTGCTATTATTGTTGCTGTTATCATTATTATTATTATTATTATTATTATTATTATTACCATAGTTCAAGTCTGAAATTTGAATAGTTATGCAGTTTGTATTGGCATTCCTTTTTTTTCTAATAATGGAGCACTTTGTTGCATTCTACATGAAAATGCTAGAGGCCTTTAGTTATTTGTCTGCTAAGTTAGATAGTACTTACATACATGTAATAATGCATACATTTCTTCATTTATAGTTTTTTTATTCTGTGGGTTTTGTTCTATAGTATCTTATAACGGGAGCAAAAGACGGTTCAATAAAGGTTTGGGATGACAGAGGAAATATCAAGATCATCTTTGTTGGCCATTTAAAGTCAGTGAACACCCTAGCCGTGTATCCATTTGGTACCTATATCATGTCAGGGTCCAGTGATAACAGCATACGTGTGTGGAGTTTAGACACTGCTGATGAAGTGGATAGAATTGATACTAAAGAAGCTGTACTGGGTCTTGGTACTATTGTAGGAAAAAATGACTTGTATTCCTTTGGACGAAGATCGATAGAGTTGTGGAAGATCGAGCACATTCATTCTGTGTTTGCAACTGTGGGGTGAGTGAAATCTAATCTTTGGAGCTACATGTACAGTTAAGCTTGGGTGATCTGCATTAGCGCGTTATTCGTGGGGAAACGGATGAAAGGACGCATTTTGATCGAGCATCTTAGAGCCAAAGCTTCACCCAAGAAATTAGCTTCAAGCGCGCGAAAACGCCAGTGACTGAGTCGAAATCGGTTTTAGTTTTGGTCAAGTGAGTGGCGCGAATTTGATAAGCCAATCACAAAGCAAAGGGGAAGCAAAGCCAACACAATCAAGGTCGTTGAATATTGTAAGTTTTACACTCTTGTATGTTGATGAGACATTTGCTTCCAATTCATTAAGATTTTAACTTGTCGCAAAATTAAGTTTGACAAAAAATGTTTAGTCCTATTACAACTAATGCTTCTTACTATGCTAAGCGGCTAATTGGAGACAGAAAACAAGTGCTCTCTTTCCGCCATTCTTGAAACTACATGTATACCCGGGGCGTAGCCTAACATGTTTAATTTTTTTTTCCTTCCTGAAGAAGCAAAATCAAATCTATCAAGCCTACGACGCACCCAAGAGTAAGTGATGCTTTAATCTAACTACATGTATAAGTAAAGCTAAAGTTAGCCCCTTTAGTTATACAATACGTGTAAATGCATACATGTATGTGTCAATAAAATCTTAAGAATGTATTGTGAATTGCCAAACGCCATGCGCATGTCATCTCGTTTTAATCGTCATACCTACATACCGGCATACTTACAACTGCACACACACAGTACATTTAATCAGATTTAAACAGAAATCTTATTGTTAATTTTTTTTACCATGGTCTGCTTAACTTTCTACACCGTTTGACCACTGTTCAACGGCCGATATACACCGACCGATGGGTCAAAGCGACACGTAAAGTGGGGAGGTCGCTACAAGAATTCGATGAGTTTCAAAATCTGATAAAAAAAACTTTGTTGCTACAGCAAGTTGCAGAAGCTCAGATTGGTATGAATTTGTGACATTACTACAGTAGTTAAAGGAGTCGCAGTGACTTGTGTAAGGAACAGCACATACAAGCGGTTTGTGGCAGCCGCACAGATCTGTGGAAATGACCTTTCGCGTAATGTTTCCCGGCCTTTAAAATTAGCAACTCTGTTGTTCTCTTCATTCCCCAGATGCCAACCAGACTGGTGTGCACATGTGATGACGCAACAGTACGTCTGTTGTCCCCAAGCTCCGGCGAGTGTATCACTACCATGTTGTTACCAAACATGAGTATTATCGCTGATGTGGCTTACGCTGCTGCTGAAAGTAAGACGAGATGAAAATTGATTGTCTTATATCATATTCCAGTTTCTCTTAGACTTACATATGTCAGGGAGGTACATTTACTAGAGGTGCCGTGCTGACTACTGAGAAGGATCGCCTCCCACTGGAGGGTCCTGGGTACGAATCCCATACCTGAAGTCATGTGTGGGTTGACTTTGTAGTTGTTTCTCGTCTTTGCTCTGGAGATTTTCCCCCAGGTTCCCCTGTTCTCCTCCTTCCACAAAAACCGACACTCATACCCGTCTAAGTCCTACCCTCTTGTTCAGCTGTTTTTATTGTGTACTAAATTTTAGACGTGGAACTATCTTCTGTAATATTTTTTACTACTGTAACACCTGTTTTGACTATACTGCTAGAGTAGATCAGAATTACGCTAGGCGTAGTGTTCACAGAAGTTGAGAAATCTTTCTGGTGTGTTTTAATGAAGTTGAACGCCAACTTTTCCATGCTCTTGTAGTGTGCTCTTACAATCACGAGAAAGCTCTTTACCTTATGTTTTTCGTTTTACTTTGTAGATTTGATGTTTACTTTGCTCTCAAACGGTAAAATCTTAAAGGCATCCACTCTGACCAATCCATGTAAGAAACTTCAGGAGTGGGATACAAACAGCAATTCAGATGGTACGGTCTTGATTTTGCTTGAGGATACTTTTGTATACTAAGCTATAATTTTCTGGCTTAGTAGCGTGCAGTGTATGTATCAATACTTATCAATCATCAACAACTTTTGCTTGTATTAAGTTGGTCTAAAACTGGATTCTGTTAACAAATGAAGTCCGATGAAAAATATACGGGTATCTTGTACGCAAAATCAGAGGAAACTGTTTTTTTTATGTGATTAACGATTGCTTTTGTACTTGTTTTCAGCACCCTCTTCATGTACTTGTCTTTGTCTTTATGAATACGTTGTGCAGGTAAGATATATTTAAGACAAAAATACTTTCCTATGCAGTGATATTAGCACATATAACACTTGAACCAAATCTCGAAATAGCGGTCAGTCATATCCTATCTGCTGGCTTTTTTTTTGTCCGAAATAACGCATTGTGTGAAAATGACTGTCAAATTATTTGTCTTGTTAAAATTTGCTTTAAGGTCCTATCTTAAAAGCGCTTTCAGGAAAATTCACCCATTGTGTCCGTTTCAAAGAGAGTAAAACAGCAAACCGTTACTTTGGGGCCGCATGAAGTGTTTGCAATTCCGTAATAGCGTGAGGGTGGGATGGTAGAGTTTGTTCGGAGAGCGTGTAACAGATGGGGTTGAATCATTCGTTTCTTTGGTCAGAGATTATAATAGTGAGATCTTCAATAGGTGATATTTGACTGTGATTATTACATTTGATGCCATTTAAATCCTTAATAAACTGTTGCTGTTTCTAGGATGAGCTCGAAGGTGACTCCTGGGGAAATTTGGTGACAGCGCTGAAAGCGAAAAAGAGAGCTGAGGAACTTGAGACTAAAGGACAAGCTATGAACGCATACGATAGAACTCTGCTGTTAGGCGGCTCTACCAATGGTATGATTGTCGTGTTTGACTGGCAGAATGACACCAACCCTGGAAAAATCTCTTTCCAAATAGAGGTAAGTTTCTTTGAAACGAAAGCCACATCAGTACACAGAGGAGTCTTATTTTACAGGTCAAAGCTAGATTCTTTTCGTAGCAAGTTTCTGCGCCTTTATCGTTTGAAAAGATCAAGTAACTCTTGTTTATGTGCAAGACTAAATGTGTCACATCTTTGATTGCACATACACAACACACCTAAGGGTTTCACCTATGGAGTGACAGTTAAGGGTACACGGCAACGTTTCTATTACATGTAGGTGGGTTCCATATGTTTCTTGTGCAGATGACACAGATGTGAGCTCGATTTTTTCCCAACAGGGGCACAGAGATGAGGTCATCACCATGGTAGCGAATCCAGAAGTTGATCAAGTGATATCTGCTGGTCTGGGTGAGTTGATGTTTTCCGCTCAACAAAGTGTGAGCCGAACACCTGATTGTAAACGCAGCCTCGCCTTAACGCGCGCGAGCGTAAAACGCACGCGCTCATAACGTTTGTTTGCGTCAGCCGGTTTCATCAATCCTTTTTCATGCGTGCTGGATACTCTCGTATTTGGATCTCTATGGCTTTTTTGCCTTCATTTCATTGAGTCAGAAACCAAAGTCAAAGTCCCCATTTACGAGAGGTAGCATAATCAGATGTCTTTGGATATCCTTCAATCTGCGGGCTGGTGTCGAATGCAGAGACCTGATTTTTCTCAGAACGGTTCAGTGCAACGTTTTATCTTCAATCCTTTTAACGTGTAACTCGGAATCAAACGGCTTTCTTCGACTCCCTTTTTTCATGTGAACGGACTCAATAGAACCTAAAGTATCTATACCACTACTAAGACTTGATGCGGAACAGTGCATAACTTACAAGCTTCTAAGATCTGCGGTTTTTGTTGTGAAGATTTGAGTATCACAAATCGCCAGCTGGTCTACGACTAGGAGGCACTTACTTCACATAATGTTTGCCTGATATTAGCAATTCCACAGCTCTTCGCAAACAACTATCTCGAGGAGGCTAAAGATCAAGTCTAAAACTGAGGAGTAAAGGATGGGAAATGCTACAATTTCCTTTTTCTTTATTTTGCCTGTGCTCCACGAATACTCTGTATTTGCAATTTATTTTCAGATCACACCATCAAGATTTGGCGCCTTTTTCCGTTCGCCGAGGAAGCCCTTGCCCCTCTGATGACGTTGTATTGCCATGAGACGCCCAGACTCTTGTCTGTGGCTCACCACAAGCTATGTGCGGCATTCCACGAGCCGGCTACTGCTTCATATAACATCGTCGTGTTTAAAACTACTCAAAAAAGTGAGTAACAGAGTACTGTAAATGTTCTGAAGTTTGACTTATCGTACGCGACAGGGAATCGTTGTCGCATTTCCGATTCTTTTAAGGGGTCAATGAGATCTTGAAGTAAACTCGTGGTAGCGGCCTCAAGCGTAGAAAAATGAGCATGATTAAGTTGGTATTGATTGGAGCATTGATTGAGAATTACTCAAGGCACCGGTTTTAGTTGTTTTTATTTTGTGTACGGTTTTTTAAGAGTTTCCGAAAGCCCATACAATGTTTTGTATTCTTTTATTGAAAGAAATTGTGTCTTCAACGAAATTTTAATACTTCAACCCAAATGCGTTTCTTTGTCTTTGCCTTTTTATCTTCGTTGTCTTTGTTTGGGTGATTTTAGTTTTGGTGTCGTCTCAAAGCTGATTGGATGTTCCCTGAAATGTTTCTCATGTTAGCGCCAATGTGCCAAATCAAGCTGGTTGCGTTTGTAAATAAATGGCAAAAACCAGCTTTCGTTTTAATTTTTCGTCGAATTACTTTCTAAATTGTTTAACTGTTTTTCAAAACAGAACGATTTGATCACAATAGCGATTGGGATCACACGGATGACGTTACGGGACTGGCCAGCTGCGCCAAAATGAGACTGTTTGCGTCATGTAGCGCAGACGGCTCTGTGAGAGTCTGGGACGAGTCCAACAAACTGTTACGCGTCATCAAACTAAATGCTACTCCCACCAGCATTTGCTTCTCAAGTCAGAAAGGCGACCTGATTGTGGGCATTGGGAAACATCTGCACAAGATTAACTACGCGACCTGTGAGTAAAGAGTGCTTCAGATAGATGAATTGTACAAGAAATTATTTCATTTTAAGCTACCTAGCAACGGTTGGACCCACTTTTTGAGACGTGCGAAAATATTCTCAACTTGAAGGACACTACAAAATGATAAGTGCATATCAATTAAATTTTTGTACACTAAAACCGAAACACTTGTAATCTTAATGGCCAACCAGAAAGAAGGAAGAATAAAGTGAAAACTTCCAAAAGCATGGGAAATTGCGAACGAACTTGCTTTGCCTCTGGTAGGGTAAGAAGGTCGCACGAGATTATAAATGACGAATTTGAAACATTTAGACTCAAGTGGCAAAGTCGCTTCTTGAAGCCTCATCTTTAGCCTCGTCCACATTTTTGTGTTCCGTCCTGCGAACGCTCGCTCAATTGTTCCATGCGTAGAATTCCATTCTAGATATTGTGCTGGTCACATTTTTCTTTTTCAAATCTGGAAAGTATATCTACGATATGATATTTATCTTATATTGTTAGAGGGGTCTTTTAGTTCTTCTCTATCATTCTTTAGTGTTTTCCACACAAATGAATGGTGCTTTTCGTGTGCTCTGGTTGGCTGGTTCGGAAGTGATTCACCAATACAATTCACATCCGAGAAGCCAAAGAGACAAAATCGCGCGCCAGCAATTTAATTTCCGGCTCCTTTCTGGGGATATTGACAGAAAGAAACTCTCTTTTTTCGGTTTCTCTGTGGTATATACTGAAACAGTTATTCACCTCCACTTCGGTAAATAATTGTTAATTATTATAAGAAGAAATAAGCCGAGTGTTCTTAGAAACGATTGATTTGATCGGACCCGATTGATTTTGTATCTTTTTAAACTGTCTCGATCGTGATTCAACTACACCAACAAAAAGAAAAGAAATCAGGGCAACAACGTACCAGAACAATGTGTGTTTACTCACTATGATAGGTAAAAATGTCTAAATTTTTATCCATATTCTCAATATGCATATTCCTGACTCTGCCTTTCACAACCTATAGACATGCCTCAGTCGTTTATTTTCCGAATGGTAGCGATGGATTTTCGACGCGTCATCGCTGAGGCACCGATGGATATTGACTCTGAAATCAAGGGCAACCTAACACCTGAGGAGTGTCAGAGACTGAGCCGAGTCAAGTCTTCGTTACACAAATACAATGATTTTCACGACATTTTGCCACAGGATGAGATGGACGAGAAAATTCAGGAAGAAGAAAGGAGAACACAGGTAAGATATTTATTTTGTTCACATTGTTTGCAAAAATTTTTGCAGAGAGGTCAATTCAAGTGTTAATGAAACAACTTTAACATTGTGCTAGCGACGCTTTTTTGTTCGCGTCACTTAAATTTCCATTTCACTGATTTTTTTATTGGCAAAATTTCGCATAAATTTTATGTTTTAAAGTACTTTCAATCATAACCATAATAATGCATTCCCACATCTTTTCAGGCTTTCTCGAAGATTCAGGAGCGAGAAAACGAGCTAAGAAAACTTAGAGATGGCACTTACCGATTCAGCAGGAAAAGGCCGAATATCGATTCAGAGGCAGTACGCGGAGAAGCGTTTGAAAAATACCTGGAAATATTTTACAAGCGTCCTCACTTCGATCTTCCAGACGATACTCTGGAGGACAGTGGTGTTGATAACGAGGAAGAGGAGGAACCTTACGCTGAAGACAGGGGAACGGGATTTTTCTCGATCAGTAGACAATCGACAAGATCGAAGAAAAGTCAGTCCTTCCCTGAAAAAACACCCAAAGCTGAGATTGCGAGTTTATCCATGTCGGAATTTGAGCCTATTAAATTACAGGACGATTACGAAGGGATGCCGGTGCTTCCTCCTGCGGATGAACGAGACGAATTGTCGCCATCTGAGCGGCCTTTTACCATGGAAACTGAAAGCGAGATCTTCTCACACGGTGAAACGAGCTCAAGGGTTTCGCATTCGGCACCAGCTCGCAGATTGAAGGATTTCCGAAAGCATCCGATTGAGCCACCGCTCGTAAATCGGGACCGTGATCGGTACGTTGTCGACGTTCCCAAGTCAAAGCGATATCCATCACCTAGCCAGTCTGTTCAAAAAGTATCACAGAGGCTTTCGCGCCTAGCTTCGTATCAAAATGAGGGCGACGAAGAAGAGATGTTTGTTATTGCACCCGATGGCTTCATTCCAAACTCAGTAGTTGTAGCCATGTTCAAGGATTTGAGAGATGAAACTAAAGAAGAAGCAGACAAGTGGAAGCTGCCTCAGTTGACTGCAAAACAACTGGCAGAACTGGAGAGCAGGAAAAAGGTAAAATGAACTGAATGGTGTAACACGCAAGGCGCTTATTATTCATCATGAACTTACATAAACGTTAGTAACTGACATTTTATTCTTGAGCCAAAAACGGTGACCGGAGGCTAGATGTTTTTCATGGCACACAGTATGTTGTATTTTGTGTTTTGTTTTTCGTTGTTCGTTTGTTTTTGTAATCGTTTAATTCTGCATGGCTGTTGGATTCCTTTTTTACCTTCAACAAAGACTAAGAAGAGTAAGGTTATCGACAAGATCACGGGATTTTGATCAAAGTGAACTTTGTCTTTTATTCCGTAGAAACTTCCTAAATCTCCAGAGAGTCCTAAAGGCAAGAAAGAGAGGAGAAAGTCAAATTATGCCAGTCAGCTGCAACTGGCCTTAAGAGACAGTCCGTCACCTGAGCCTGTGGACGACACTGACCTCTTCAAATCGCCCACTCCTACACCTCCCCCGTCCCCTCCCCCAGAAGAGCCGACACCGCCAAGCATCCCCTCCCCAAAGAAAGAAATCAAACCAGTTCGACCGATTGAGAAACTGATATCGAGACCGAAGCCTCCAACTCCAGAACCGTAAGTACTATGTATTGATTTCAGAGGATAAATTAAGTAACACCCTTTTAAGACTCCTTCTTCTTCAATAAACCTCCTTATAGGGCATACCTCCTTTGTTACAAAGACCCCCCTCCCCTAGTGTTGGTTAACATTTCAATCCATAGTATGCTTGTATTTGAACAGCTCTATCAGTTTCTCTCTGAAATATTGTACACAGT